TTTTCGAAAAAAAAAAAAAAAGGAAATATGGATAAAGGCGAGGGCTTGTCCGAAATATTCGAGGAATCTTACGACGATATTTTCAGCATTCTGGAAGCACTTGAGAGCGGTTCGGATTGCAACAACTCCACGAAGGGCAACGAGAGCTTCGAGTTTCAAAAATCTGTTTATAATATTAGTTCGCCGTTGAGCGGTTTTTTGGAGTTGGAGGCAGAAATCGAGTTAGCTCCTTCTTCTTCTTCTTCGCCCGGTCGAAAGAGACAAAAGCTCAGTAATGTGGGCCCGCCTTTAGGTTTGAACGCGGAAGAAGGGCAGCCGAGAGTTTCTCATATCACGGTCGAGAGAAATCGGAGGAAGCAAATGAACGAGCATCTATCTGTGCTTCGTTCTTTGATGCCGNGAAAAAAAAAAAAAAATTGAATTTTGGTCCTTCCATCTAGAAAAACAGGTCAATGTCATTGTACAAGTGGCAACCGACTAACATATCCAACTCAGCAAGTTGGTCACATTGACCAGCTTTTTCCGGTAGAAAGACCAAATTTCAGGTTTTTTTGGATGTTTTTGTAAAATCACCGAATCAGAGACTATTTATCAATTTTATATCAATTGCAGAACTGAACCTCCAATTTTTTCCCTGTGGCCTAAAATGTCGTAACACTCTTGGTTTTTCCAAGGGCGACCAAGCGTCGATTATCGGCGGTGTAATCGACTACATAAACGAGTTGCAACAAGTTCACCAATCTCTCGAGGCCAAAAAGCAAAGGAAAGCCTATGTAGACGTCTTGAGCCCGAGGCCCGTCATAAGCCCGAGGAAGCCCCCATTGAGCCCGAGGACCCCTCAGCCAAGCAGCCCGTATAAGGCCCGGCTGCACAATCTGCAGCCCACGGGCTTCTCGAGCCCGGTCGAGCTTTCGCCTTGCAATTCCTCGACTTCTTCTATTAATGACAGTGTTAATGAGCTCGTGGCCAGCTCGAAATCTGCTGTGGCTGAGGTTGAGGTGAAATTCTGCGGCCCGAACCTGCTGCTCAAGACGGTTTCGGGCCGGGCTCCGGGCCGTGTTGTGAAGGTAGTTTCCACTCTTGAGGAGCTCGGGCTTGAAATACTGAAAGTGAATATCAACATGGTTGACGAGAAAATGCTGAATTCGTTTACTATAAAGGTCAGAATGTGAAATAAATAAATAATGCATGTCATGTTTTGCTCCTTTTGTTTTTTTAAGGATCTTTTTTGGATGTTTTTTAACCTGTTTAATTTTGTTAGGGAAATTGGAAATTACATCCCGTACCTTAGTCAGATGACAATTTTAGTATTCAAAATCTTCCTTAATAATTAACTAATCAAATGGTGAACATTGTGTCCAAATAGGTAAATTGGTGGGCATTTCTTTGCAATTAATTAGTGAGTAATTAATTATTGATCGCATTTTATGAAATTACAAACGTTATTCGATAAAATTATCATTTGTTCAAAGATGCTGAGTGTATTTTGCATTTTTTCCCATTTGTTATTATGCATGCATATTTCATAACAGTGTAATGTTTGGTAATGAAACTGATAACAACATTTAATTTAGCTTGTAGTTTTTAGGTACTGAAACAACAGAACCCTAATTAATTAATTTCAAGATTTACTAAAAGATCCTATAAAAAAAATGAGAAAAAAAAAAATCAATATTTATATAGGAAAAATAGGCCTAATTTATAAGTCTAATAGGCTACTCCTCATTCTATCAATTGATTTTGCGATGGAACCTTACTTGGACTTCATCTAGGTTTTCTCTGCTTATGGTGTGCTTCACGTGGTTTTCCCCGTTTCCTACAGATCTTAGTTTAGTCACAAGAGCTAGTTAGTAGTAATTATATGTATTTTTTCCTCTTTCAATCTTTCTCTACATAAATTTGCCTAAAAATAAATAAAACAGGGTTAGAGCAATCATTAGCAACAAATTAGTTCATATATTGCATATATTATTGAATAATTTTTATTTCATTTGTTTGATAGGTTGGGATTGAGTGCCAACTCAGTGCAGAAGAATTGGCCCAGAAGATTCAGCATATATTCCAGGCTAATTAATTAGTGGCCCAGAAGATTCAGCAAATATTCCAGGCTAATTAATTAATGATTAACACGGGTTAATTTGTGTTAATTCTTAATTAAATATAATAAATGTAAGTTGTGGATTAATAATTAATCGGTCATGGCTAGTACTATTACTAAATTTTAGCGACTTTTGTGTTTATGTAACTCTTTGGGTGAAGATCTCATGGCAGATGAGAGACTTTTAGTTTGTAGCTTTATATATTAGTTCCGTAACTTTTCCTGATTACTGAAAGTCTGAAAGTAAGTTCATCAATAATAGTTAGTAATTTTTAAAATTGTCGAATTTGAGTATAAAACACAAATCTTTGTACATAACGCTATTCTAGCTAGATAGGCTGATTCTATTTTGTGCACTTACGTATAAGTACGTGGTTGAACCACATACATAGTATATATCCTCTTGGGAAAAATGGTCCAATTGAATTTATGACTCTCATCTTTATTATTTTGTTTGAACATTCAAATATTTTTCAACTACAAAACGTTTATTTAGTGAGTTTACCAATTAGTATGCACTGTCACATCAAAGATCGATAACATCTTAGTTTCAAAATTTGTTTCCAAATTATAGGACCTAAATATTAATGCTGCCTCCAATTTTGTTTACCAAGTAAAAATAATAGTTCAATACAATGATAATTGATATGGAACTAGTAAATAAAAACATATACTAGTTATGTATATAATTTGTAATTTGAATATAGTTTTATTTAAAATGACATATGACCTCATGTCACTCGTGTAAAATGAACGTTGTCAAATGATATATACCTGTATCATATCAAATTCGATACCAAATATAATTGCATTGATAGATGAATTTATTTTTTAATTATTAATGATAAAATAATATTATTAATTCTTAACTAGCATTAATAGATAATATTATTAATTCTTAAAAAATAATACGGAAAAAATCATGTCATTTCATACTAAAAGTATACATTTCTGTTCGAAAAATATGACAGATTAATGCCCATACATCTTGTTGTTAGACTTCATCAAAAAAGAGTTTGTTTCTCAAGTATAAGATGACTTGAATTAATGTAGGCTTGAAAACCTTTGTATTGATCAGGATCTATTTAGAGTGGAATCCCCCATTAAACTACTTAGAACATGCTTGGATACAAAATTTTGTCAAAAAAATCCAAACATTTTTAACTCAACCATTTTTTTTAACTCAACTTTAACTCAACCCCACTATCATCAATATTATCAATATAATTAAATAATATCAATCAATCATTCTTACACACTACCTTACCTTAATTCACTATTCATCCACTCACATAATTTTAACTAACCATCACTTCAAATCTTCTCTCTCCTACTTTACATCAAATCAACTTTAATCATTTTATTTTAAATATTATTCTAATATACCTACTAACAACTAACCATACCAACTTTTTCAAAATTAACCAAACCAAACAAAAAAAATCCGAACAAAACCAAAATTTTTTATATCCAATCATCCTCTTTATGATTTTTCTTTCTTTGTTCAAATTGTGAATTTTGATAACGAAAAGGAATTCTAAACAATAGAACAATTCTCCAAACAAAAAGGAACCATACATAGCTATAGCAACAAGCTTTATCATAAAAGTTAAAGTTTCACACTCATGATTGTAAACATATTATGCATCAATTCAAAATACACTCGCAATTTTTTTTATTTTTTTATTTTTTTTTCGCACTTCTCATCGTCTACAAATCAGGCAACACTAGCTGACACAAGATTGGTATAGTAATTTCTATATCGTGTTACAAGAAACACTACTACTTACCCTACAAAATGCAATGATAATTAAAACGTAGCACATAGTTTGAGCTTTATTGGTCTTTATTCTTCAATATATATATGTCAAAGGCTTGAGATCACGGGTAGTAACTCGGGTCTTCGAAGCTAAAATTTGACCCAGACCCATAAGATCCGTATGGATAATTCGACCCGAAAGTCGAAGTCATTGATGCAACAATTGGGCTCAGCTCACAATCCGTATTGGGTAAATTTTGACCAAATCCTCCATAGCTAGTGTTTGTGAAATAACTCGACCCGGATGAACTACCCAAAATGTTGTCACAACCCGAGAAAATGGAGTCATTTTCGGAACAAGTAATTTCAGGGAAGTTAAATGGGTTTTCATTAGTGCCTAAATCTTGGGCTGTAACATGGGTTTGTTGGGTTAATGATGGGCTTTCTATTAAGAGGTGTGGGGTTTGGGTTGATGGGCTTGGGTCTTCGTTTTGTGGACTGGGCTGCGTTGTGGGAGGGTTTGTGATGTTAGTGGAGTTTCCACGTGGGTTGCACGTGTGCTTCCGCCGGTACGTGATTTCGAAAACGGTCGGGTCCTCGTCGGATCTTTGAACTTGTTTTGTAGCCAAACAGCCCTGCCCATTCCTGTGGGTGCATCTGTAGTACCCTCTGCATTGGGAATTATTTGAGACAATTTTCCAAATAAAATAAATTATTTTTTTTAAACAGATAAGTATGTTACGAAACAAAAAGATTACATATTATCAAAACAACTAAAAAACTGAAATTAGAAGAACTACATACGAGAGCCTAAACCGAAAATACGACACAGATACTAAAATTAAAACAAAAACTACTTAATTCGTACACACGTGAAAATCAAATACTCCAATTTCATTTCTCATCATATATTGTTTTCCCAAATGCACAATTAGATTACTAATAGTTATAATTTAACTCTCTAAGAAGAAAAATCACAACAAAATTATAAATTATTATTATTATGCCGCATCAATATATATTATCGAATTTTCGTTGTCAGCCCGAACATTCAAGACCTAATCATCCTATTCTAGCTCGCATATATAATTACTGAGTTTTAAAGAATTATTTTAATGTGAGCCTTTTCTTTAAATAATTTCTGAAAAAATCGACTATATATGCTGATGACACTGTTTGTATTGGATTTTTTTACCATTAGATTACATACACGCATGATTTTCGTTGGCATATATGTGGGTAAAAAAATCCTATAATAACATCTTCATGATCAATTTTTCCTTATTCTTTGACTTCCCCACAAAAAAAAAGCTAAGCAAGACAAAGACAATGAAGCAGTAGTAATTATGAACGCGTGATCATATTACATGCTTTCTTTGAGTTGCTAGAATCATAGCATAGGTATGAATTTTCAAATATTCATTGTATTATGACTATATATAAGGTTGAGGAAAACGTAAGTATTCTTTAATGAAAGTACAGTATGTTTGATTTATACGGCTACGTCAGTAATGACGTATTTTAGAAACAGAACCTAGGAAATTATATAAACTTGTGTTCCTTTTTAGACGAGGTTGCAATAAAATAATGCATTTACAAATCAGAGAAATCAATCCAACGGTAGAAAAATGTAATAATGGGTCTAACTAATTAAAAGTTGTTGTATGACCATATTATATTCCACGCCTATTAATAGTTTTTTTTTCCCAAAGAGATAAAAAAAATATGAGTATATTTTACTAGAAATACAAATCTCCGTACGGAGAAGACTACAATTGCATAAAATAGTCCTAAAATTTTATTGTATTAATTCCAATTACATGAGTAAATTGAGATTGGAATTAACTTGAGAGTGTTTGTCAGTACTTATTCTATTTAAATAAGCTCGGTTTCTAAGCTTAGATATTTTTTATTTTTTTTTTATATTCAGATAAGTTTGTTTGGTTAACATAAGCTATTAAAAAAATTTAGAGTTAATCTCATTAGATAGTTTTCTAAGGACATTGAAATTTTTTACTTCAATTGATTTATAGTTAATTTTACAAAAGAAAATGCATCAGCTAATTTTCAGCCATCAACGATATGTCGCCTATAAAGCTCAGAATTAACTCGCGAGCCATTAATAGATTTATCGTACTCCAATTTTTGATTTCCAAATGTATATATTGAAATCGGAAACCAGCCACTAACAATAAGTTGTCGACTATAAACTCAAAAGCAACTCAGTGGACTATCGGTTAACTTTTCATAATACTGGGTTCCAATTTCAAAATTCCAAATTTAAAGATGAAAATTAAAAGGACAATCAGGTACATTATGTCTNGAATAGTATAGAGTACTTTGACTGAGGAAAAAATTGACCAGTTTTGATTGTGGTTTGGGGCAAATTGACCGGTCTTTGGTTATACGAATTGTATTTTAAGGCTAATCAAGTCAAAATGTTGACCATTCAAACCTCACCAAGAATTATCAAGATTGCTAACTCACAATTCATTAGTACCAAACCAGAAAAAGAAAAAGAAAATTAAGTTCTGGTGGTTACCTCTAAACAGTCAATAAATCTTGATGAAGCATAAATGTTTACTTATGGAGGATAAAATAAAAATAAAAAATTACGAAAGACAATGTAATTGAGTTACTACTAGGCATATATATATATATTTGTAAAATTGACATATTTTAATGATGAAATGTAATGCTTAATATTTTTTAGTTGGGTACCCCGTAATGTTTTTTGAAAAGATCTCATATATCTACATATATTTTTGAACTTATATTTAACAAAATTTTATCTTTTCTAATTTAAATATATTAATGTTTTACTAAAAAATATACCATAAAAAATATGTAGCTTGTAAAAATTTTCCTAATTTATCTAACATGTCCATCATGGTACTAATGGTGAATTTCACCCTATCATGTGGGCATTGTCACACGGGCATTTTAACTGTATGATTAATTACATATTTTTATCGATGTGTGTATCCGTTATCAAACGAATAAAATCTTCGTAGGGCAATACGACTGGTAGTAGATTCTCCTTTTCTACTTCATATATATTCATTTTTTTTTTAATTATAGTACATACCATTTTATATAGTAAACTTTCATCTTTTTTAAGTGCTTCTTAGGTTGTTAAGACCAAAATATTTATGTTTTGATTTAAGATATATTCAACCATCACTGATTTTAGCTTAAGTAAAAATATGACATTGCAAGAAACCTAATTTTTCTCCCTTTCTCATCCTTTTCTCTCACCTGTCGTTGCTCTCCTCTTCATCATATAGTTGCCTTCCTCAACGATAGTCGGGCCTTCGTCGGTGGTCGGCCTTTGACTGCACAGCCTTCGTTTCGATGTTGCGTCTTAGTGTCAATTAGTGTCGGCGGTTGCGGATGGTCTCCAGCGGCCAGATTTCACCGTTTCAATCAGGTATCAGTTTGTAGTCTCTGGTCGTCGGCCTCCCTGGATTACTTTGGCACTGGGCGAGGTGTGGTACCTTGGGTTGGGCGTGGCTCAGGCCGCTCGCAGCGTCTGAGTCAGGGTGGCCGGGGCTGAGGTGTCAATCTTGCCCTCTTCTCCCATGTTCTCTGGTGTTGGGTCCGCGGGGGGAGGGGGGGTGTTGCCGTAATTGACAAGTGGTGTTGGCCGGTCCGAGGCAGTGGTGGTGTGGGGATCGAGTTTGGTGTTCCTCCAGCTGGGGGGCAGGTTGGCATTCTGGTTTGGTTCGGGGCTTGGGTTTCGGCTTCGGTTAAGCAGTTTTTGGCAGTTTTGGAAGCAGTTTCCCGAGCTGCGGATTTCTCCTTGAGGTCGACTATTTGTCCGCTGGTACGGTTCGGTCGATCTGTTGTGGAAGGGCTCGATTTTAATTTGTTTGATTTATTTAAGTGTGTTTGTTTGTGTTGTTTAGGGGATGTGATTTTGGTCACTGGGGGTTGGGTCTTTGGCCTTTGTTTTGCCAGAGTGAGAGCAGGTATTATCCTGGTGGTATCGGTGATTCTCCATTATTGGCGCTTTGTAGTGTTTTTTTTATTGTGTGTTGTGGTGTGGGTATGTTGGTCTACTGTTGCTAGTGTAGGCTATAGGCGATCTTCAGAATTGTTCTCCCTGTTTTATTCAACTTTTAGTTGTAGCATTCACTTACGAGTTGTTTTTCTGTTTGCACATTTGTACGTTTTATAAAATCTCTATCGTTCCGGGGAAAGAAAAATATTATTTGGAAAAATGGTTTGTTTCAAATTAACTTTTTTCACTCCAATTGAAGATAAATTAGCGGATTGGACTTAATTGAGAGGTTTTGGCCCGTCAAATCCGCTATTGAGCTTGTTTGGTAAATAGCTTATTTGATAAGCTTTTTGGACCCAAAACTCTAATTTAGAAAAAGCCCATTAGAGCAGCTTTTTGGGATAGAGGATTCACAATTGAGAGGTTTTAGTTGGAACTTTTTAATTTGTCTTATTTATTTTACAATCTATATTAGTTCATGGAGCTAATATATAATAATATGTCATCCATATGATTAATTTATTTAGAAAAATATAAAATTCATAACTTTTTCATCAAGTGTTAGTAAATTTTAAAATATATATATATATATATATATATATATATATATTTATAAATTACCAACTAAAGAATATTAAATGTTTTAATATATTCTTATTAAAAAAATACATCCTAAATAATAAAATGTCCTTATTGGTCATTTTGTAATGTCAAACAGATATAAGTTTTCAGCTATTACCAAACACTTATTTAAAAATTCCTAATGTAATATGCTGGTCAAATCAGCTAATATAATCTGCTATCCGCTAATACAATCCGTTATCCGCTATCCACTATCTACTGATCGTCAAACAAGACCTACTATAAGTATATGTTTTTTTAGTACAAACCGCAATGACCGCATGTTCCCATGAATCGGGTCATGTTATTTTACAAAACCATCATATATTCTACTGCCCGTGGCTCAAATGTTATTGAATTGACCACTCAAAATAATACACATACATATGATGAAAAATCATTGATTGGAAGAAAGAAAGATGAAGTCATAGATCAAAGATTTCTATTTTATTTTGACTAACAGACCTCTTAAACTAAAATTTTTGGACTTGGGAATATTCAAAAGCTCGTTACGCGTGGCTGCCCCTGCCCAGTTGATTCCACGGTTTCATATTTTATAAGAACTTTTTGTGTGTGTGAGTGTCCTAACCATTTAATTAAATTTGTCAAATTTTATATAAAAGATATATTTATGCTATGAAATATTATAACTCTATGTATTTTGTTTTTCAAAGTGCTATAGCACTCAGAACATATAGTTCAATGACCTTGTACGGGGCTGAAGAAGAGGGACGAATCGAATACACGAAGCGAATAGCTCGATGAGTGCTAATTATTTCTCCAGATTAAAAAATAATCAAAGCTGTTTTAATGTAAAAATAGGAAATATGTTGGTAATTAAATTTAGGGATAAATAGTGAATTAAAGTTGATGTGATGCGTGAGAATGATCGATTCATATTATTTCATTATATTGATAATATTGAGAAGAGTTGTCTTGAGTTAAATTTGAGTTGTGATTGAATTTGTCCAATCAAGATTTATATCTAAGCACCACAAAAGGGTGATACAATTTCACTTTTACACGTCGTGTATTTACGCTTACAGCGTATAATTTACATATCTCACGAGCAAGTACTGATTTGAGTGTCAGACGTTATTTCGCCGGTACCATCCCCAATATATAACTGGAGCTTAAAGGCAAATGACCGATCGTGTTGGTGCCGGTTTAACCCAGTTTGAGGGAAATTTGCGTATCATAAAGTGTGATATTTCAAATTAAAAGTATGTTTTGTTGAAAAATATGATTGTCTAACTGTTAGGTTTGTCTAATAA